ATTTCCTTCTATACTTTTTAGCACGTAACTATGTATTAGCTTCGTTCTTCCGACGTTTTCTTTTTAATTATAGGAAATGCGTTTTTCTAAGGTACATAAACTTTTGGGATTGACTGTATAGCCAATACATCCTTAAAGGCTCATACAACTCAGATATTCTCCACTTACTTCGAAATTATATGGAAGCCTTTCTTCATTTCTTGCCAAATGGTGGATCCACCGGTGACCCACGTCGTGGTGCCGTGAGGCTCCGAGGCTAAATTACTCAACTGCGTGCCCAGTTCTGCCATGTCAACACCGTAACTATGCGATCTGATTGCCAAACAGTCGGCGATGTTCTTCAGCCGGGATATACCGAGCAGTATGACCCGGATTTGATCGCGACTGTTCGCGAATTCGGTTAACGTTTCCGGCGGAACCAGTTCCTTCGCCCTCGACGATAACTCGGACGTTGCGAATTCGTCCGGCACTCGCCTGAACACCTCCCGGATTTTGTGTTGCGTCTCCTCGCCGGTGTACGTGAAAAAGAATTGCACGATGTGATCTTTGCTAACCACAGGATGACGGGCGATCACAGTTAGGAATCTTAAAAGGGATCGTCTTCTTTCTTCGAGAAATTGCGAGTCCGCTGAAAACGCAATCATAAGGTTCCAAATAAATGATCAAATCTTTCACTCAATCGAAATACAAATTGGCAATTAACGTTTGGTGTCAGATTTGACTAATTATGAATAGAATCACTTAAATTAGTTTTATTGCAAGAAATACGAATTGACGATTGAATTTTAATTCTTCATTAAGAAATATTCCAATGGTACTTAGAGAAATTTAATCGTCAATTAAAATATCTATAACGCTTGTTTCGACTTAACATTTACAGATTATTGAAAACTTTACCTCCCACTATTTTCTTCGGTGGCAACTTCGGTATCAGCCTGTAGGGGAATCTCGTTAGGAGAAGTTCGTGCAACGACACGAAGTCGTTGTAACGTCTATAAACGACAGAGTTAAATCTCTTGCTGGTCACTTGGTATTCGACGTGTTTCAAAAATATCCCTTTCTTCTCAGGAACCAGGTTCACTTCTATCGTGTCCAGGTTGCATATATCGGAGTAAGTGAGATTCAATTTCGCCGGATTACTCCCCTTATGCAACCTTTGCGCTAGAAGTGTCACTTCGGAGAGGTCACCCAGCGCAGGCACAGGTAATTCTATCAACAATAAAAAAGCAACCTTGACAACCATTTACGAGGCTTGAAAAATCGGTACTAAAATATTACGTACAATTAACAATGCGAAGTTAGATTCGTGGGATCATTGCATCGCGTGCAGTTAAAACGCGAGCTAGTTTTATCTGTTATTATTATTTCTCCTGTGAAAGATAATAATCGACGTCGAGTCGTAATTTCTAAACCGGAGAAATCTTTCTTGATCTATGTTAATCTGCTGCGTGCTGATAATACTGCGGTCCGAGTGCTCCTCCTTGTTGACCTTTTTATTTCTGCGATTTCACGTACGTACGTGGTATAGTAATTAGCAAAACGCTTCGAGCAGCACTTGTGAAAAGCAGTTATACTTGAATTTTCAACAAAATTAATCGAACTTTTTTTTTCGAAGTTCATGACAGAAAATTGATAAACGCAGTTGTTCGAACTCAAAGCAATTAGAATTAATCATGATTAAATACAGGTATGGACGATGCAAATGGAATGTAGCCAGGTCTCATGAATTATGTACAAATTACACAGCGAAGTTTAATCGCAACTAGTAACTAGAATTATGTACGTAGGAAAGTTATTAAAATATGATAGTACAATCAATTTGGCAATGAACAAAATACGTGTTCTAATTCACAACTGAACATAACAAATATTTATTATTAAATAAATTAGGGAAAGCAATTTAAAGAGTTCCGTTTGTACATTTTAAATATTGTACGGCTTACTTTAATCTCGACCGTGAATAGCATGAATATGAATCGCGTTCGCAACGACGGGAGAGTAGATTGTCGAAAGAACGGTGCACTTCCGGCGAACCTCTTTCGTGATAGTTCCTCGCGATAAAAAAAAACTTGTATGAGCTAGTGATGCCATTAAACAGCGAATTCTTTTACCACCGGACATTCGCGAATGTCATTAATCATATCTTGCATTATCAGAAACAGAAAGCGCGTCAGCGAATCAATAAAAGCGGTCGGTGAAGCGGATCTCTCCAGTGTTGAAAATATTATACCTAATCATTTTTACAATCAAGTGAGGTATGGTAAATGTTCCAATTTCACGTCACTATTTTTACTATCTGGTTTAATGTTGTATGAACCCTTACATAAAAACAATGACAAAGCATTGAAATTTTAACAGTTACTAGCTATTACAGCGGCATTACGCACATAGTTTTTTAAGGTTGTATAAACCCTTACATAAAAACAATTACAAAACATTGAAATTTTAACATTTACGACATATAGATAGTTGCAAGTCACGTACAGTCCAATAGAAAAATTCCAAAAGTATGTATTAGAATATTAGAAATTATGCGTTAAAAATTCCTTATGACTGAGAAAAATAAGTGGAACCCCAAGAAGATCCTGTAATTATCATCAAGACACACCTTTCTAATACATATCTTAAACTGTTGGCAGAGATCATACGGCTTAAGATTATACATAATATTATAGAAAAGTGACGAACAGAAATTGGGACATATAAACAGAATATTAATAATAGAATGCAGTTTCTGTTCTGAGGTTGACAAACCTTGAGACTCCGAGTTCTCCAGAAGTTTGTCGCTTGGGTGCTTTCCTTGCTGGGCGAACGCAACCAGAGCAAGGCCCTTGTATAATCCACTCCTAGTTAGATAACCCGTCTTGCTGTCCACCAATTCCCATATCTAATTAAAAGTAGAATAACGATGATGAGAACATTATTTCGTCCGATCGTTAACAAGGCTTCTTCGTGGAAATCTTCAATAACGAAGATCCACTGGGTTTTTATCACGATAGAGAGAGAGAGAGAGAGAGAGAGAGAGAGAGAGAGAGAGAGAGAGAGAGTACGGCTTCACGTAATGAATAATTTATTCGGTAATTTGTTATTCTCACCCGAGAAAAGTTCCGCGATTAATACAATTCCCACGGCAATATCTCCTCAGACGAGAGATTCAATGTTAAATTTACGACTCAGCAAAATTAAAATCAACAATACTTTTTTATATGAATGAGTCTCCATTATACCTTGTATCATTGCATTAAACATTAAGAGAACGAAACGAGGCAAAGTGGCGGTGTCGAAAGGCTTGGCAGAGAACAACGGCATTGCACAAAGTTACTGGAATTGGAAAACAGAAACGAGCAGGTTTCCGAGGAAAACCGCGAGAAAAGAATGAGAGGAGACACAGCGTCGACCGAGGACGACTTTCTCGATAAAAGTTCAGGGCCATGGAACGATTTCTCTCCTTGTCACGCGTTATCAATTGTAAACTAAATAGCGCTCGGGAAACGAGCATGGAAAACCACCTGTTGCTGTGCATTCAAGCGAGAGAGAGAGAAATCATTTCACGAAAGTTAAATAAAGTCTTACAACTAGCAAAATAAGCCATTTGTAAAAATTTAATTCAAATAGGAATTTAGTTTGTATTTTAAAAATTATATTATGTATTTCATTTTTTATATTTCGTTTATCTTTGAACATTCAATGAATTTTTTAATATCTTCTGCACGCGCTATTTACCTGTAAATGCATAAAATTTGTAGTTCACATATAATCGTTATATAAAGTAAAATGAAAATTTCAACTGAGATATCAAAGAATCTGCTCGGTTCCGCTACGTTTTCATCGTTACGGGATAATTGAATACTGGCGATGGTTCCCTGTATCTTTGAACATTCAATGAATTTTTTAATATCTTCTGCACGCGCTATTTACCTGTAAATGCATAAAATTTATAGTTCACGTATAATCGTTATATAAAGTAAAATGAAAATTTCAACTGAGATATCAAAGAATCTGCTCGGTTCCGCTACGTTTTCATCGTTACGGGATAATTGAATACTGGCGATGGTTCCCTGTAACTCATAAATCTGTCAGGTGCCAGTCGAGTGGATAGAGGCGGTGCAGGTTAATTGAAAGCGACCGGGATATTTTAATGAGAATAAAGGGGGCCTAATTCGATCCGAAAACGGTTTAATACAGCGCAAACCGCGCGATACACTCGACTAACGGTGCAACCTCGGGTAACGCCGCGGTCGAGTCCGAAGGATTAGGCCATAAATGAAAGTAACTGCATTCCGACGATTTTTATACCCTCTCTCCTTCTTTCATTCCCACAAGTCGTCCGTCTCTCACCGATCCGACGAAACTCTCGCAAGATCTAATAATCTGTTCGCAGTAACGTAAAAACTATTCGACTTCAAAGTTCATGCATTTTAATGTATTATATTTATCTCTGCCAGATGCAATCACTGCCTCCAGGAATTCGTATCTCATCTCGCGAAGGATGAAATTATTCTTTCAATAAATAAAGACATCACGCAGTATTTCACTAAAACGCTTCCTGGAACAGACTTCTACTGGGAATGATGTAAATGAACTTGTAAGGAGCTGCTCTTGTAACAGTTTACTTTTGCGTTTAACACACAATTGAGAATATGAACGTTCTCCACGAAACAAGAGAAGCATACTGGATTAAACTTGACTGCAGGGGAACAGGTTTCTACAGAAACTTATTTGACCTTCTCTTTAAGTATGTAAGTAACGTTCATTATAATGAACTTTGACATTGGATAATTTTATATATCATGTATCAGTTAATTACGTGAAAATCATTAAATGAATCCTCGAGTTCTCACAAATAATTTCTGCTAAGCTTCCAATCAATGAATATTTCTTATCACTCAACTTGTGTATTAAAAAATACATGATAGAAAATCAAAAATCGATCGAATCAATTCAAGTTAGAAGCCAGTCTAAAGAATTAGTAGAATAAAACAGAGACGTGTGAACAATGCCAAAACGAGGATAATGGGAAAAGTGAATACGTTTGAACGTTAAATATGGTCAAATACAAAAGTGCATTAAGAGTACGTACTGGCGGTGTTCGAAAGTGTCGGCTCTTTGTTTTCTCATCGGTTTCACAAGCATTATTAAACGTTAATCGTTGATCCAAGTTCACCAGACAGAGGAAGCCCCTTGTTCGTGGTACATGTGAACCCATGCTCGGAACAATCGCCGCGAAAGCGCGCCTTTTTCAGTGTTTAATAAATCCCTTTCTTTATTTCTGGCCTTTCACAGCGCGTTTCAATTGCATCGCGGAAATTGCATTGACGATACGGCTGTATTTCTCAATCTTGATTCTTTGATTCCTAAATGGAACTTCGAATTCGTGTTTTAACACTAGATTGCGAGTCAATTTGACTCATTGTTTAAGACTCGAAGTTCATCATGCAAAAGAAATAGAAATAAGGGTGTCTGTACTAAATGTAATAAACAAAATCTATGGAAAATGTAATTTCAGCCAGAATATAGTTAGAGAGCAAAATCATAGCTCTCGGACTATCCGGCAATTTGATACCAAAACATTTTATG